GACAGATGTACGAGGGGATAGAGTCTTATACAAATAATAGCAAGAATTTAAACCAATGGCAGACTGTCTTTTAATTTAGTGATGAAGACGTTTGTAATGGAAAATAGCTCTTTGTCTGCATTTACCCTTAAAAGGGAGCTTGGCACGTTGTGTTTTGGTTTACTGCAAGGCTGCAGGACCTTTCGCCCCCAGACATCTGATTTCAACTAACTCCTATCTAGTCATCATATGTTTGCTAGGAGGACTATTCGTTTACTCTTTTCCCAGTAAAATGGTCCCCCATAACCCAAACTGAAAAACAGCGATCATGAAGACATTTCATCATGATTATTTATCAGAAGTGATTACAGATGACTTAGATGGTGCACGGAAAAGTGACAAAGTATTGTGAAATGTGAGTTTTTTTGCTTCAGTAACTATGCTTTGAATTTCTGAACATCAATGTTAACAGTGTTTAAAGGGTTAATAAGAGAGAGACATTAAATATATGTTTACTAACATTTATATTTTATATCTCAAGCTTTTGGTATGTGTGTGTCCTCTCGGCTGCTACATGAAAAGTCTGACACCCTAAAATCAGAAGATCTCAATCTGGATGGCAGACCAACAGGACCCGAAGTCTGACATTGTAAGACTAAACACTCAATGCTGGTGGCAGACTAATGGGACCTGAAGTCTGTCATTGTAATACTAAACATTCAGTGCTGGTGGCAGACTAATGGGACCTGAAGTTTGACATTGTAAGACTAAACACTCAGTGCTGGTGGCAGACTAATGGCACCTGAAGTCTGACATTGTAAGACTAAACACTCAGTGCTGGTGGCAGACTAACGGGACCTGAAGTCTGACATTGTAATACTAAACACTCAGTGCTGGTGGCAGACTAATGGGACCTGAAGTCTGTCATTGTAATACTAAACATTCAGTGCTGGTGGCAGACTAATGGGACCTGAAGTTTGACATTGTAAGACTAAACACTCAGTGCTGGTGGCAGACTAATGGCACCTGAAGTCTGACATTGTAAGACTAAACACTCAGTGCTGGTGGCAGACTAACGGGACCTGAAGTCTGACATTGTAATACTAAACACTCAGTGCTGGTGGCAGACTAATGGCACCTGAAGTCTGACATTGTAAGACTAAACACTCAGTGCTGGTGGCAGACTAATGGCATCTGAAGTCTGACATTGTAAGACTAAACACTCAGTGCTGGTGGCAGACTAATGGCATCTGAAGTCTGACATTGTAAGACTAAACACTCAGTGCTGGTGGCAGACTAACGGGACCTGAAGTCTGACATTGTAATACTAAACACTCAGTGCTGGTGGCAGACTAATGGCACCTGAAGTTTGACATTGTAAGACTAAACACTCAGTGCTGATGGCAGACTAATGGCATCTGAAGTCTGACATTGTAAGACTAAACACTCAGTGCTGGTGGCAGACTAATGGCATCTGAAGTCTGACATTGTAAGACTAAACACTCAGTGCTGATGGCAGACTAATGGCATCTGAAGTCTGACATTGTAAGACTAAACACTCAGTGCTGGTGGCAGACTAATGGCACCTGAAGTTTGACATTGTAAGACTAAACACTCAGTGCTGATGGCAGACTAATGGCATCTGAAGTCTGACATTGTAAGACTAAACACTCAGTGCTGGTGGCAGACCAATGGGACCTGAAGTTTGACATTGTAAGACTAAACACTCAGTGCTGGTGGCAGACTAACGGGACCTGAAGTCTGACATTGTAAGACTAAACACTCAGTGCTGGTGGCAGACTAACTGGACCTGAAGTTTGACATTGCAATACTAAACACTCAGTGCTGGTGGCAGACTAACGGGACCTGAAGTCCGACATTGTAAGACTAAACACTCAGTGCTGGTGGCAGACCAATGGGACCTGAAGTTTGACATTGTAAGACTAAACACTCAGTGCTGGTGGCAGACTAACGGGACCTGAAGTCTGACATTGTAAGACTAAACACTCAGTGCTGGTGGCAGACTAACTGGACCTGAAGTCTGACATTGTAAGACTAAACACTCAGTGCTGGTGGCAGACTAACTGGACCTGAAGTTTGACATTGTAATACTAAACACTCAGTGCTGGTGGCAGACTAACGGGACCTGAAGTCCGACATTGTAAGACTAAACACTCAGTGCTGGTGGCAGACCAATGGGACCTGAAGTTTGACATTGTAATACTAAACACTCAGTGCTGGTGGCAGACTAACGGGACTTGAAGTTTGACATTGCAAGACTAAACACTCAGTGTTGGTGGCAGACTAACGGGACCTGAAGTCTGACATTGTAAGACTAAACAAACAAAAAATTCAGTGCTGGTGGCAGACCAACAGGGAAAGCTCACATACTTAACCTCCAAGGATGTTATATTTAGAGCACCAATAACAGCTGCACTAGCCTGGTGTAACCTGGAATCATATGAAGCAAGTGATTTTTTCTCAGCTCCGAAGCTGAACTTTTATATCACAGACAAAACAGTCAATGAGTAAAATGATAATCCTTCCCGGTATGAAAGAGTAGTCATGTTAACAAGAGCAATACCGGAAGGCTTAGTCTAGAAGCTGGATCCATTTGTTTTAAGTATTATGTCTAGTCTTAGTCTTCTTCAGCGATCTCTGGTCATGTGCTTAATCTGGGATCTCCAATTCGGGGTTTATTAGGTTTCCCCAAAACTTAGTTGTCAGTTCTACTTGGTGTGGCCACATGTTGCTTTGCAGCTCTGCCAGGAGAGGATAGTCTTGCAAGACATGTTCTGGAGTCTGTTCAGCACACTGACAGAAAGCTATCTGGCTCATATCCAATTTTTATGAGTGTTTGCGGTGCTGAGTATGTAAGTAAAAAATTTTGACTTGGTCTGTTCTGTTCAGGTGACTGAAGAGATATTTTTCATGGTTATAACCTGTATTTGTTTTTCTAATGGTCTGGTGAAAATAAAGGTAACACCTAGCAGTCACTGTTAAAATGAAAGTCTAGAGGATCCAATCTATTTCAGCTGGTGTATCTCATTTGGCTAGGTTTCTCTCTGTAGAATCACTAGTCATTGGACGAGAGCATTAAACAAAGCCTGAACTCCAAGCATCAACACTAATCTCCAGGGATCTCTGTAAAAACTGCATTCATCTAATCCAGGAAATGAACCCACGACCTTCAGAACACAAAGCAAACGGCTTAACCACTTCACCATGGAGACCCACCCTTACCCGTTTGTTGATTGCACCTCTTTAAAAAATTTACGGAACAAATTATTAGGAATGATAAAATGTAAATATTTACCAAATCTTTTTTTTTTTTTTAAGAAACAAAAACAACTGTATTTAAATTGCAACCCCTCAACAACAAATTGAGCAGAGTCCTCTGTGTCTACACAAAAACAGTTAAATGTGGAATGTCATATATAATTAAAGCAAATTTAAAGGCTTATGCTCAAAACATGCGCATCATGGTCAACAAGAAATGTCAGTGATTTGTAAAATGTACAGCAACTTAAAACTCAAAACATAATTTCATTGTGATAACATTACAGTAATTCTCAAACCAAAGGTTACAAGCTGTGGGGTTGAGCTGGCAAGTTACTTAGTTCTGCAGAGGGGAAATTTACATTGTTATCCTGTAAATGAACTCTGCAAGTATTCAACTCATTGAAGATCTGAACATCTGTATAATTTTACATAAAAGTGTATGATTCAGTATGGATTCCAGTCAACATTCTTCTGACAAGTAAATACACATGTATGTAAAGCCTGGCACAGCCTGGCTGCAGAGGCACACTGGACGTATGAGAAGTCTTGTCACGCAGATAGGACTGGTGTTTTTAACTGCTGGATGTTGAGGTATCTGATGGTGGGGGGTGTCCACGAGCAACTATGGACATGTCAAGAGTGCCGTAAAGACAACTCAACTCCCACTTTATATATATATATATTTATATATACTTGAAGTATAATGCCTGACCTATGTCTGTTATACGCTAAAAATTATGTAATAATAATGGAATTCAGCATATGGTGACTTCACCAGTGCTGGGCTATAAAAGCAATAATTAAATTACCAAAAGACAATGCCCACACAAAAAACAGCAAAATGTATCCACCAAAAATTATGGATTGACAGAACATCTGAGATTGTGAATACCACAATATTTTAAGTCTACATACAACTTTTCCCCAAATTATATATATCCTTTTTTTCTGACAAAACAGGGACATGGAGGAATAAGAGTCATAACAACTAATCCAATTCTGACTCACAAACATTTCAGATGCTAGCTATGTCTAAAAATCACACCTTCTCTGACAATAATGTTATGGTTTTTTGTTTTATTTTCAACTATTCAATCTTTCACAAAAGTAGAACTGAGGACCGGGAATGACCTATTTTTATCCTGGTGATCAAGGAATGGTTATAGACAAGAGAAGTAACTCAGGTGTTTTGAAAGAGGCAGGCGCTAGAAGGCAACTTATCACAAACATCAGACAGAGACAACATCATTTTTTGCTCATGTTATGAAGAGGGAAAATGGAACATGTTGTAACCAGTGGAAAGATTTGTGAAAAGAGAGACAAAAGAAGATGGTGCAAGAAGATTCTTGACAGCCTTTTGTCATGACAGGGAGGGATGTCAACACACAAATTGATACACACAGCTGTAGATCGCAGATTGTGGAGAGGCATGATCGCTCATGCCAGTCGGCAAGGCACTTGATGATAATGATGAATCAAGGGATACTCATTCCAAACACAAAGATGTGTTCTTATTACTTGAGTGCTGACTGGCTACCACACAGAGAATGCTACGAATCTCTGGCAATTTAAAACATTCAAATGTGCACCCTAATTATTTACAGGGACAAATTATATTGAATGTAGCAGTTTAAACGTGTGTAGTACTCAGCATAATCAGATTCAGAAAGTAGTACATATAGTCAAATTAGGGGCAATTAAGTGAATTCATCTTCCTTGGCTTAATGGTAACACTGGTATCAGAGTACAACACATCTCCAACCACTCCCTGGTGATTTTTTCTTCTTCTTTGGAGAAGGCAGGCGCCTGAAAAAGATTTAAAATCACACATTATTAAATGCATAAGTACAGTGAAAATCATCAAACATTCTACAAAACAAATGTTTAATATTTTTAAAGCTTAACCTCCAAGAAGAATCAAATCTAGTCACTTCAGGTTGTGACAGTCCTGTAAATGCCAGTATATCGGTCTGAAGTAACCTGCTCTCAAAAAATGTTGTTCAATATAATTGGTTCTGTTTGCACAAACATAGTGCTTAATAGGCCAGGATACAAATATAGTAAATAAATAGCATTTAGAGGGTTTCCTCGTGGCCCCAGTGGCTTTTTAAAAGCCAGCTGATGTCACATTTTCTTGTATGCCTCAGTAATAAAGGTCATGGGCTCATGGCATGAGTCACCCGAAACACACTGGATTTTTTTTTAGGCCCAGGGGAATGTATTTCATTTAATGTTTCACTCGGTTCGTGTTAATTGCCCAATAATTTATTTTTTATATTTCTCCCCAAAAAATGGTATGTAGATAAATACACTGTTACAAAGTTTATTAGTGACCTGTGTAAAATTTACTTTTTTTTTTAAAGAATTTTTTTCTAGAAATCCCCACAGGATTATGGTCCATTTTTTTTTTTTTTTAAGCATTCTTGATTCATAGGTTCCTATCCAGAAGCTCAATGAACGCATGATGCACCAATTTTACAACCCACTTGATTACCCCTAAGGCCTCTGAGGTTTAAACCCCCTAGGACTCAAAGAGTTAAACAGTACTGAATGCTTTCTTTCGCTGGCAGTCTGAAGGTAAATTTAAGAGAATAGGCTCTAAACAAAGGCTAAATAGAAGTCACATGAAATGACTGATAACTGTTACTGCAAATCTAGGCACACCCAGAAATGTGTTATTTGATTTACTGTCAACATTATGATCAACATCATCATCATTCAATGTCCCATTCCCTGTGTTGGTTCTAGGGTCCCACTGTTTGTGGAGAGGAAAGGGGAGGAGGAGTAGACCCATTGCCTACCTACCAAGGATGTCAAAAGAGTCAGCTAATTAGGGGTTGCCTTTCAAGTTGGAATGCACCTGTCTGACAGGCCAGGAACCAACAGTCTGCATACAAATAAGCCAGATCAGCAAAACAGAGGTGCTCACAAAACTCAAGTTCTGGAACAAGACAAAAGTCCAGAAGTGGACAGACATCTAGAGCTTTCTGTCAGAGTTTACAGCCAGTGATTGCATGAGTATATTAATTATATTGCTTCATAGAGCTGGACAATCTTACTGATTTAATTCCTACCCAGAAAAAGGCAACCAATGAACTGTTCTAGCATTATATCTGTTCCATGAGGTTTTGGGCCTCTTCAAACCACAGAAGATATAAAAATTGCTAGGGTAATGAGCTTTTAGCAAAAATAGCAATTTTTTATTCAATTACCCTATAAGAGGAGGACATTGGGCTGTGGTTTAGAGCTAGGCTGTGATATCTACACCTCTCAGGCCAATTCATTCAGTGTCAGCACAACCTTAATTAGTGGCATTTTACGACATGCTAAATGATTCTGTTTTTTTTTTCCCTTCCTTTTTTTTTAAATTCAGCACTTACAATGGGATGCCAGAGCCTACTAGGGAAGTCAAACATAAAATCAGGATTCCAAGATGCTGCAGTCCAACAAAATATATAAATAAAAGCATTATTTTCACACACGTGCATGTAAGTATGCACATGTGCATGCACGTACAAACAAATGTAATAGTTATTCTTGAACAAGAATAATATGTGAGACATTAAATTAAAGGATATCTATATTCCTATTATTACATTTTTTTTAAACGTAACTTTCTAACAGTGAGTAACATGATCAGAACAAGCAACAATTACCTTATAACTCTGACCACCTCATGAAATGCCAAGTCCACATTTAATGGGGGATCCTTTGCACTTGTTTCTATGTACGGTATCTGTAAATATAGGAAAACTAGGTAACGAAAACTTTATTGGATGTAGTGTATATGTATGGAGGTATTAGTAAAGTAAAAAAAACCTTTTTCCTGCCTTCAGGTGTACTGGACACACACAGCTAGACCTATCTTTCATAGACCAATTGGTACTTGGGAGATGGGTCAACATTGTGCTGACCGCCTTTACTTACCAGGACTGTAATTACTACCCATTTCAGACTGGGCCGACCTAGAGGCCAAGGTCATTTTTGGAAAAAAACTGGCTCTATCAAGACCTGAAACCTCGACCTTCCAATTCGCAAATAAGCGTCTAGCAGCTTCACCTCAGTGACTCGTGTATGGAGGTATAGTGTTCTACTATTGAATATGGTTTAGCTTATCTTGCCTGTCTTGCTGTTTACACTCTAAAAGTCAGCTAATATCTCATATGTCATAAATAACACATTAAAATTATCAGATATTATGTATACTCAACACTGCCATATGGTGCACAGACCTGGACAATAACGAACAAGCAGCTAGAAAATTGAATTGTAAAACTGAATTGCCTCTGGAGATGTGAATATACAGAAGAATAGGCTGTATTTCATGGAAGCAGGAAAAATCACATAAACAGATTCCCGAGAGACGCAAAGAAAACACGAGTTCTCTGGGAGAAAAGCCAAAGACAAGAAAAAAAAAGCATGAAGTAGACAGTAAAACAAGTGGAGGCACAATATCAAGAGAGGGATGAAGAAGCAAAAGTGGATAGAGTGTGCAGAGAAGGTTGAAAATGAACTACAGCCAACCTTCATTGTGGAGACAGGACCTAACTGATTGATCACAGATGTCAACAATAACAAAGCATGTTTATTGTCACAGAACAAAGCAAAAGTTCCCTGTGTGGGTTCTGGGGTACCCGTTGTAGGGAAAACCAGAACAGACCCGCTGCCTACCCAAAAGCATGTCATAAGAAAACTAATTAGAAGCTTCCTTTGAAAATGGAGTGCATCTGCCTAAAAGACAAGGAACCAACAGTCTGTATACAAATGAGTCAGATATGTAAAATGGATGTGCACGCAACACTCAGGTTCTGGAATAAGACTACAGATAAGAAGCAGACAAACAAACAGCACATTTTGTAGAGTATACAGCTGGTGAATGTGAAGAAGTAGTAGTGAAAGCAAAAGTCAGCGTTTCATAAACATAAAGTTGAACACCATAAAATCATCTATCTTTATCTGCCAAAGCCATAAGAAGTAAAGCAAGACTACTATTCCTTAGCTGAAACAAAAAATGCTAGCCTTTCTATCATTACATGCCTACTTGGTTAGTTAGTCTTTCCTCTTGGGCCTAGGGCGGTGCATAGGGCAGAGGTCATAGCTCTCCACATCTGGGGGTTCGTTGCACCTTCCCTGACGATGGTTCTACGTAGAGTTTCTCTTGATCCTCCTCATTTTAGTTTCCCTTTCGATATCCATATGAGGGCTTGATGGGGAAGTCTCGTCTTATTCTTTGTGAGTGCATGGCCGATGTTGTTCCAGTGGCGATTCCTTATAAAACTGGATACACTATCTTGCTTGGTCTCTCACACCTACTTACACGTCATTTATTTGCCTTAGGCAAATATAAAAACACTTAGGGCAACAGACTTTATTATTTCTTTACAAAATCTTGCCGTGACAGGTGTACACAGAGTGTCCACTGTTCAAGTGTGATATGACAGACCTCGCAGTAAATACAAGTGATTTTAAATATTCTTGTTGTATGTGTATCATTGTGCAATTGTGCTGTATGCTGATGAAGGTTTTCTAACCTCAGTGTTCATTTTGTTGTTCATGACTGTGGTGCTGTAAAGCCGACTAGTTCTATTTCTCATTTCAATAATATCTTTTATTATAATTAAATAACACAGAACTACTTTATAGGACAGTAGACTGAGAATATATTGTTCACTTCTCAATGTAATCTTTCATTAAAGTGATGATGAAAATACAAACTTTCAAATTTGCAGCTAGACTGAGACCCTGTTCCTCTGTGACCACTCTCTGATGAATGAGATCCACCTTATTGGCTGACATCACCATTGGATAAGAGTCCCTGTAACAACAACAACAAAGTGAACACTACAATAACCACATTACAACAGAAAAATGTGGTAGTAAAGACATTTGTGCACTTTGTGACTGGCCTAATGTCCTTGGTGTCACATAACAGACCAAGCAACCCCTTCGTCTTGGACTCATCTAGATGCTGCCACCTCTATGCAGATGATGCTAAGTTTAAAAATAGACATGCCTCTATAGGTATATAGTCCATCTTTGGTAAATATAGGGCTTTAGGTCAAGTTAAGTACTCCTATATGTCCTAATTCTCTTGGGAACATTATAGTTTTGAATCTATAATCATAGGTGAGAGCATCATTGGTAATTATTGCCAAAAGTTCTTTTTTTTTTTTTTACTCTGTGCTTATTTCTGTCCTAATTGAAGAAACATTCTAGGTTTCCTTGAAGAATCCAGAGCTTGGGTAAGTCTATTATAGTTTATGAGTACCATGTAAGTAAACCCCGCTGCTGAATGCAGGTTAGACTTGGCTATGGATGTTACAAAACTATGGTGTCATTACATTCATATTGCAGGGATTCGCCCAGACTTTGCATCCTTTTTGAAAAGCCGAGGTTATTCTCCTATAGGAATCCTAGCAAAAGTCCAGAGGGCATTGGACCAACAGACAACCCTTTTAAACAACTTATCGCATTTATGAAATATATGCTTCTTGTAGGTTAGCCGAGGATTATCTGGGTAATGACACACGCATTGATTGGGTCAGGAGAATGGCAGTCTGATGACACAGGGCCATTATCGACTAAACATGGGCCGGGGCAGGGCTGTATATGGGTATACACCCTTTTTAAGTATATATATTTCCATATTCTTGTATCTATGTATACTGTGTGAGTATGGATATATGGGTATGAAAGGAGTGTGATAATGTCCTCTATCAGAGAGACCACAGTCTATCTCCTTGCTGGTGGACTTTGCTTCCTTTCTTCTCTGCTGAATAAAAATGGTGTTGTACAGAGTCTACAACTGACTCTCAATTCCTTAAAATCAGACCTCTGAGCTATGTTTTTGTGAATATAGGTAGAGTAGGATAGGCATGTGGAGTATAAGATGATTGCTAATCCTTTTTTTCCCTTCTGTCACAGGATTTTTATCTCCTTGGAGACCAGATCGACAATCATCATCCATCCACATCACCAGTAATCCTTACCACCAGCTGCCAGAAGATACTATCATAGGGCCTGCCGACATGTTTGTTCCTGCGCCCAGGTAACCAACCATGCCACTGGGAGAGATCCATCCCCAGGGAGCTGTAGGGTGAAGCCAGAGGTTGCCTGCTACTGTTGTCTACATGACTGGTGACAATAGACAATATTATACATTGTGAACAGTTGCAGGAGTTTAGGTATTGAGGACTGAACAGTACCTTGGTGCCAACCATCCCAGATGCAGAAGTGATGTGCTACAGTGGACCGGACTTGGAAACAGATGAGTTATATTCCAGAGGTTGTGGTCACTCTTAACCCGAAGTGCCTAGTCCACTGTGCCATGATTCCACAACAGTGCTATGATGACCTTGGCTGCTACTGGGAGCAACCCTTGTTCTGGTCATATATCAATTGTCTTTGTCTCCTCAGTGTCATTGATTTTATTGAATTCTTCTGCTTTATCCTTGTAGTAGTTGAAATAATTACAAAATATTATTGTGAATGTGACATTCTTGGTTTGGTGTCCATCATTCACTGTTCCTAGTTGCCTGAAGTGTGTGCAGTATTGATATACTATCTGTTTAACTGTTTTATCTTGACTAGGATAGGATACTATCTAGTCTGGTGGCTTATTTTGAAGTAGTGAGGAAGTCAGGCCAAGTTGTGCCTAGGAATATTTTATGCTCTGTCGTGCCATAATTTGCGTCGCCTAACCCCTGAAGTAGGTTGGATGTTAATTGGAGCTGCGGGATTCTGCCTAGACCATTGTGAGCCAACATCTCAACATTTTATAACTACTTCAGAGTGCTGTTTGGTTTATTGGGGAAACCCTTACCAAGACACATGACACGAGCAGTATGTGACACTTGGTTGAAATCTCTCTTCATGTTAAATTATGTCATGACGACATGGCTCTGGGATCAACTCAGATTCATAAAATGAGTATGAGATATACTCTGGTATGTAAGGGGCTGAATGCCAACCTTATCATAAGAGCTCTCAAGTCGAGAAAATGCATGTGTAATACTTTATCTCCAATATAACGGTAGTGACACTGTCCATTACCTACTTATGTAACCTTACAACAATGAAATATTATATAGGGTAAAACTAAAATGCAGAGCTAGCAGATAATGTTGATGGGGTGTGAAGCAGCCTTCACACATTCTAGGCTTTGATATATGAGGTGAGGATTCCGGTTTCCTTTCTGGTCACCTTTTTCTTTCCTAAATTTTATAGCAAAATCATCAGGAATTCAAGAAAAATAATCAAGTATCCATTTTCATGAGACTAGGTCAACCACAGACTGTAGGGGACAGAAGTGTGACAAATTCCACCTCTTCTGTCACCCCACCTGTTGTCCACGCTGCTCAAGAACTTCCCGGCCCCAAATTGGACCCGTTAGTTCATAATCATCAACTATTCTGGGAGAGAAAGGGTTCAGAAAGGGTTGGGGGAGGGGGTTTCAGCATGGTCATCACTTGTGATGGACGGAATAAGAATTCTGGTAAGGAAAACTATGCAATCCAGCAATATTTTACACACAATTAAAAACTACATACTAAGATTAAATCCGTACACCAAAGACTATAAAAACCATTAACTTATAACTGTGGCGTGTGTATAACAACAGAAATGTGGCTTTGAGAGAAATTAAAAGAATAGGGTATGTTATAGAAAGAAAAATTGTAAAACTAACAACTGGTTAACTTCATATTCCTCTAAAGTTTCTTCAATTCTCTCCCTAAGCTCCACATTAGAGATTATGTCACTCAACCATAGAAGAAACAAACAAAAAATAGTGACTTTAACAATCACTATATTTGTAAAATTGTTAACTATGACTAAAATCTTCAACAATTACTATATATGAAAATCTGTAACAATTACTCTGTAGTAATGCACTTGACAAGATACCAGGAAATATGAAAGGCAATAAATTGTAGAATATTTTGTGTTCACATTATTTACAACAGTTAAGACAGGACATTGCAGAACCAACTTTTTTTTCTGTTAATTAGCCAATTTTACAATATGTAGTTTGTCATTGCTTCCTGAACTGTAGGCTACATACAACAGTTGAAATGATGTAAAGCGGCCTGCTGCCAGGTATGTTTGGATTACCTGCTGCCAGGTATGTCTGGATTACACACTGCCAAAGCCACAGAGGCCAACATAAATAAAAACATCAGTTCTGTTGATAAAACATTTGACTCAACAGAAAAATCTCCTGACCTGTCCTTGACTCTCAATATCTGTGTGTGAAAGTGGCTGATGTTTTCAAAGCTCTGCTTGTCTGTAACAGAATAAACCAAGAGAAACCCGTCCCCTTTCCTCATGTACTGCTCCCGCATGGCACTAAACTCTTCTTGACCAGCTGTGTCCAGGACTGAAAAAATATTCACAGACAACATATGACGATTTATTCAGCATATGAAAGAAATAAGTGATTATAGGAATAGGATAATCAAACCAAAAACAATACTTTAAAGAGGATATTAATCCAGCATATAAGAGGAAATCCAAAAAAATTTCCTTGACTTCTAATTTTCATTTATGAATAAGTAAAGGCTTGCATATGTAGCTAAAAGTACAGTAGCTTGCTAACACAGCAAAAAAAAAACAAGTAGATAACCAAAACATGAACACACTTGAAAGCTGAATGCACCAAGTGGACAAGTTGAGAGTCAGCACTGCTATTTTGATTCCTACCATTTTTCATTCATGTAAATCAGTTCCCATTCCAGGACATGGCTGACAGTGTACTGACATGATAACACAGCATAAATTCCCATTTGACAACAAATTTTGTATCTGGCAACATAATTCTGAAAGACCAGATTTCTCTGGGAAGGAAAACAAAAAGACAAGACAATTAGTCACCCCACCTTTTATGACCCTGCATGTGTGAAATATTTCACAGAAAATAGTAGAACTTCTTCCTCCTCTGCAATTACCCTTAAAAGTTTATGTTGTGCTCTGGTTTACAGCTAGACTGCAATTATCTGCACCATTCAGCCCCACATATCTGTTTTAAAAAACATAATTAGTTGCTTTTTTTTAATGAATGTGCTTGTTAGGGGACACTGGATCTCTCCCCCCTCCCCTCCCAAGGTGCCCTGGAACCCACTATCCAGGGCACATGAATACTATAACATAAAATAATATAATATAGTGTGGTATGGTATGAGAAAGCTTCGAGCTGGCTGTGTTCACAAAGAAACGACGTGGGAGATAGGTCTCTGTAGACTGGTCTGAGCCCCTTGTGGAAAAAAATTGTAAATCCCTCAAGCCAACGTCTGATCAATATCTGCCCGTACTACTGTCAAGTCTGTCTGATGAACGTCTGTTCGATCCATATGTAACTCTGGTCGTGCAGGTAGGCTTTTAATTTGCTACAGCAGCTACGATAGATCACCATAACCCCAGGACCTGTTGCAATCACCATAACGTCATGTCAAATTGGAGCACAGGAGATGTCCAAGGCCCAAGAGTCATTACCTACAATAATATAATAGCTGTGCAATAATACTCTTTTACAGAACAAATTTTAACCTGTCCAGTACTCACCATCCAAAATACACCATTGACCATCAATTTCTGTGTACTGGATGTAGGAGTCCTCAATCGTTGGATCATAATCCTGGACAAAAAGCTTCTGAAAGAACTGTATGGTGAGTGCAGACTTGCCCACACCACCATCACCAACTACTACTAGTTTGTAGGTGTGTGCATTTTCAGCATTCACTGGCTTGGAGGACATTATCACAGCTTCAGAGCATCAGCTGAATTAATTTTCTTGATTTGAAAGTATATGTTTCGTTGTTTTGATTGCTATTCTGTTAATGCAGATTCATGTCTGCCTTTCTTTACAAAGTTTCTTTTTTCAAGAATCCAACTCTGCTTGACACTTTCTGAAAACAGAAATGAATTAGCCAATAGTGAAACATTTTAAATTGTCATTCTATAAACAAGCTAAACTTTAGCAGCACTTATATATATATATATATATATATATATATATATATATATATATATATATATATATATATATATATATATATATATATATATATATATATATATATATGAATAAATGCAGCTGTTGCAAAGTAATAGCACTATAACTATTTAGTAGTACTCGCATACTGAGATAGTGAGTTCTTGACTGCTCTGATCTGATCTATGGAGAATGGAAACATGATTCTAAATCTAAACTTAAAACATGCAGTGATATTTTATGACATGCATGTTCAAGTTTTAATTACTGATACCAAACATACTAATATTCAGTCAAAGTACTATTTATTACAAAAATGAACTTTAAATGCCCTATTAATGCAGCAGTTAAATCTGTTTCCGAGAGTGGCAAAATTTCATTTTAATTATTACTATTATTTAACTAACATTACTCCATTTGCAAACTTAATATTATATATAATTTAGTTGGCCTGTGTAGCATAAGCTAGTAGTACTATGCAGTTATTGAGTCTTTAAGAGCCTTTGGTTTATGTATATATTTTTAAAAACCTGTATATATATTAAACTGGTTGATCTAAATATAAAAATGCTAAAAATAGGTAACCAGCAACTATACAGGGTTAGTGTAAGTAATTTTGGAAACACAGTAATAATAGTACTAACAATTACAGTACACGACATTTTGCAGTGACAGCTGGTTCCTGGTTTGGGACTAACGAGTGTCATTTAATAGTGTGTACTATTACTACTAATACTATACTACTAGATAATTACTGTAACTGTTACCACTGCCAGTAACAGTAACGGTATAAACTAAAAATCAACGACAGCGTGGCAGACTAAAAGGAACTATGCTTGCGGGCTTGGGACGATGACAAGGAGGAATATCATCAGTGGAACTGATTGAGAATTCCAGCGACCGTAATCTGTGGAAAGACTTAAACGCTTCTCTGTCTGGCACATGATGATGATGATTTACATCATTCTTTCTATGAGTGCCGTTCACAATACTTTCTGTTACTTGATTAATTCATAATATTTAACGGCCTCAAATGGTTCTCCCCCCCCCCTCTCCCCCTGTTTATTTATTGATTTACATAGGCGTGATGATACACGACTGCTAAATGATCCAGCTGATATCTAGTCACACGGGCACACCGTGAAAACAGAAAAGAAAGCTCTACGGAAAGAAGAAACGTTTGGCTACAATTCAGTTTCCTCTCTTAGGCTGTTTTTGTCACAGTTTATGTTGTATTTAGTACTTCTTCCATGATACATTATATCGTACTTACTACTTTACCTAAATCATCGCAGACAGGATACAGTCCAAGTCCTTTTAAGAAAAAAAAAAGAAAAGCTCGACCACGTTCAGACTGCTGACAGGATACAAATAAACACGTCCTTAAATATGCCTCAAAAGTTATTTACTGAACCTGGCAAGTTCGCATCCGTGTCAGTTTGGACAATGCTGCTTCTCGTTTAAACAGAAAATAGTTGACCGTTTGTTTAATACTGGCGGATCAACTAAATGTATTGGTTAAATTTAAAATAATTGTAGGTTGTTAAATAATTAATAATAGTAGTAATATTTCAAAATAATATCCTGTTCGATCCCCGGGGTTTTACTAGGAAATCTATATAATATAATAATTGATACTAATATATTATTAATATAAATATCAGTTGTATTTTCAGTGTATACTTTTTGCAATCATATGTCGTATGCTTTCTGCATTATATAAAAAATAATGTGAGATAAGTGGTATGTTTGTAAGAATACGTTGAAAGTTTTTTAGCATAACATGTGTTCTTCTTTGCGTTCATTTGACATAGACTATCTTCATCTGCAACGGTGTTGTTGTTTTCGTGAAATCTAGTTTTCATTGTTGTTTTTTCCCGTTAGATGGGTTGTTATAATTTGATACATGTAATGTGTTAGTTGTAACATTTGTGTTAGATATAACCATCAAGTAGTAGAAGTTATTTAAACAATAAAATCCCGTTCAACATATTCTGGGTTATGATTGGGATATAATACAATATATAAATCTTTTCCTAATATTAATATAGTACTGCTACTTATACCTTATGCTTATCAATCCTTTTTTGGCTATTTAATATTGTCCCGATTGTGTATTTATTGTAACAGATTTTAAGATTGTGGATTGATGAGTTCAATACAGTTTAAGTGTTCTATCATCAAATGTGTTATATGTTACCATGCTAAATTATATTTGCACTGAAACACCTAACAGGAACTGGCGCATGTGTTCTTTGGGAAGTCAAGGCAGAAAGGACGGAATGGAATAACAGGTTAAAAGTTTTCATGCAAGGCATATCTCAGACGTCTTCGGAAACAAACTGCAACTTATATAAAGTTGAAAGACAATTAAAAATCACACTGCATCAAGAATGTGTACCGCCGGTATACTTAACTTATATAAACTGACAAATTCGCCAGCCGTGTTACTGGTTGTTTATTTTTGTGTTATCTATTGTACATCAGTGGTAGTAGTGAGTGCACGAGAGGTAAAAACTCAACAAAAGACACAAGAAGCGGTTGCAATACCTAATAATTCTATCGGTAGAAATGAAGCTAAGAATAACGAGCCTGTAAAGGAAGTTAAGTTAACGGTGGTTAGCGGCAAAGTTGACCAGAAATTAAACTGCAGTGATCCAAAATCGGAAAATAAGACGGAATGTTCAATGTCCAGTGATACCGAGGGAGCTAACGCCTATGTTAGGCAGATCATAAACCAGATGTCTCAGAACAGAGGCATGCTCATGCGAACCTTGTATGTTACGTTGAGCATAACTGGTCTTGTTGTCGCCTACTTTGTAATTAAATCTGTCTGGTAAGTCTTCATTGTTATTGTATGCATTCTTCTTCTTCTTCACTTCCTCTTTTACCGCTGTGGGTGTAGAGGGAGATATAAGGTTCTGTTTCTAGCTCTTCTGGCTGCCTCGACCATAGGCACATCGTGCTGTAGTAGAGTTTCTCTGATGTTATCCTTCCATCTTGTTCTTGGTCTACCCCGTGCTCTACGTCCTTCTTCTCTTTCTATGTATGCTTTGTATGGTATGGTGTCACAAGGCATTCTCTCTAATTGTATGCATTATTGTTATATAATCATACAGTACAGTATACAGTCCCGCGGGGGGGGGGGGGGGGGGGGGGATAAACACGCTGTCCCATAATAATCATGTCCTAAAAGACATCTAATTAGGGTTTTGCTGAAATCAGTTGTGTTCAGCCAAAAAGCACAACTATTACAACCTAGCTGTAGTCCGTAACACAACATGCAAACCACCATTTTTAACACAAATACAATAAAATCATGTTATGCTTTATTTTATGCATGTTGGCATAGATTTAGAGCAGTTACTTTTTTTTAATGTGCCAGACCTGTTGGTTCATGCGTTATTTGGTGCTAGAATAGGCTAACATTTGGTATAGGCCAATTAGCAATTGATGGAGGTGTGGCCAACATAACCCCCACTGTCTTTATTTTTCAAGGCACACATTTTAGGCTCAGTTGATCTGGGAACCCTGAGTGTGTTTTAAAAATCTGCTCTCATAAGGGTTTACATACAGAACCTTTAACCTATCAAGCAGGCATCTCACCACCATGCTGTCATGGCTGTGATAGAAGAGAGGGTTGCAGTTAGTTAAAGTAAGTTTTGGACCGCATTAGTGCAGTCGATAAGAGGCTCGCTTTCAAATCCAGCTGCGACTCGCTGCAGCCGCGGTCGGTGTTTGAAACTGGGCGGCTCCCGAGGTTCACCCAACCTCTAGGAAATGGGTACCAGAGTGGACACTCTGGGGTAAATGGAGGAACGTAGCTGTAGCTACAGAGCTACGTGCAAACGGCGACACAGGCGGACATTTCTTATCAGCTGTCCGTACTGGTGGCAAAGCACTTATGGTTTATAACCGTGTTCAATGACACTGGTTCACACCTCCCGACTTTACTTTTTTAGTAGTGGGCCCTTTGCACATCTTAGATGCATCAATCAGGCTTATAATGCTAGATCTATATTTTTAAAAAGTTCAGTCAGCACTTAATGATCTGGTCATCATCATGCCCAGCCACCTTTACTTACCAGGATATTACCTGGAGGGGGGGGTGACTTGGAAGCCTTCATCAGTTGTAATAACTTGTAATATGAACAAAACATGCTTTACAGATAAAATATAGTTACTATTCAAATGATGAATGTTTGAAAGGACTGAATGTGAGACGGTACAGTAAAGTAAAGGAAAGGACCCTTTTCAACACCTGCAGGGATAGAATTATAGTTTATAGACCAGTTGGGCATGCAGTGGTTAATATGGTCAACATTATGCCAACCACCTTTTCTTTCCAGGATTCTGCCTGGTACCCATTTAAAGCTGAGTCAGCCTGAAAGATGGTGGAGAGTTAAGATACATGCAGACCTACAAACACTTGGAGACACCAGCTGGCCAGTCAAGAGAACGAATGAATAAACAAACTTTATTTTCAGAGGATTCAGGTGAGGGAAAAAATGGGTGAAATCTGCAGCAGCGAAACTCAGTACTAAAGATAAAGAAGTTAGTTACATAAAGCTGACATAAAGGAATTTAAGGAGGATGTTTTGAAGACTATGGCCAGCTTCTGGATGACGAAGAGCTGAGTGCATGCTGAATTTGGAGCCCTGTGAAAATATACTTTATTCATTGTCAGTTTTTTTAAAAAAACATCTTGATGTGGATTTGACTCCTGGACCTTCAATGGTGAGCAGCTGGCCAAATAGTTGGAATGCTGTGCTCTCAAGCGGGAGGCCCGGGTTCATATCTTCTGTAATGCTGGGTTTTTGTTGTTGCTGTTGGGGCAAAATAAATTCTTCACCTGCACATTCGTGAAGACAGCACTAGCCATGCGGCCGTAAATCCTCAGACTCAAAGACCCCTCTGCCTACATCATATAAGTGCTTAAAAAAGGCAGTTAATGGCAGTTTTTTTTTTATTTGAACCTTTTTTTTTTCTAAACAATTCCTTCAGTACTGCTGTAATATACACTCTGTGGTGAATATCGGCACTTTTTTTTTTAGAGTACCATCCTTAAAATAGTAGCTGGCTGGCACATTGTGTTGGGGTTTACAGCTAGATAAACTGCGCACTGGCACTTTTTCTTGAAAAAACATGCAGTTATTTATTGCTAATTTTAAGTATGATTCTGTATTTTGTTTATTTTTTTTTATCTTCCTTCTCTTCTTCAGCTTCACCTTTGATCTGCTTAGACTCTAAATTTTGTTCTTACCAGCCTGCATAACTCATATGTCGCTGCTCCACCATGTGAACCTATGATAGCATTGTGGTTACTGTAGTCAATTACCAACACAGTGGCCCTGGTTCAGTCGTTAGAAATGGGGGTATTCTTGACATTCACCAATATAGCCTAGAAGGAAGTGGGGGGGGGGGGGGCTGAATCATCTCAGGGTATGGCATCCGCCTTGAGTGCTGCAGGTCCCTGGTTCAAACTCCAGTGAAGGCTGGGATTTTTTTCACGGGGATTTCTAGTAATTTTCCCTGGTCTCTGGGTAGTAAGACAGGACGCCCGTGTGTATTCTTGCACAAGTAAAAGATACCTTGGCAGTTGGAAATCGAAAAAGAGTAGCCTAACGACACTGATCGTGCAAAATTTTGAGTTAAAAATCTACCCAGAGTATTTCAGGATCCTCGCCGATGCAATGGAGTTCATGCACTGCACTGAAATTCTTCAGACTCAGGCTTGAGTTAGAAGTAGAACGGAGCACTTATGGGTTACACCCATGTGCCATGTTGTTGAAGAAACATAAGTATAGACTAGTTGGCCCAGTAAATTATTTGTCTCATTGGAAAGGAAAGGTGACGTGGATGGGGACTGATTAGATCATTATTTCATGAACTCTGATGTGCGAGGGTTAGTTAGTTATTCAAGGTTCACCTTCACTGCAGATGGAGGTGCTTAAATAATATCTTACCCCAAACAGGGGAAATCCACAGGTCACGGGATAGTCTATTATTTCAAGGGGTGGTAGATAGGCTGCATGCGACTGTGGGACCTAGGCTGCATGCATTCCTGGGACCTAGGCTGCACTCTCTTGTGGGAAGTAGGTGGGTTGGGGGTAGGGCCCTTTCTAGATGTTTTGGGGACGTTAAAATCATCAGAAAGCCGTAAACCAAGTCTTACCACCTACTGAAATGTTGGACTGTCCTGTGACGTCATCTGGGGTAGGATATTAATAAAGCACCCAGATGGGTTTACCCATAACTACTGCTTTCCTGTGCCAGTGGAAATCACACAAAATGTCCTTTGCTGTCCCATTTTAAGCTAGCATAAAATATTTCAGCCCCAGCAAAATATTGAAGCTTAAATATCCAGATATGTGAAGATTTAATAATTCTGACTTGAGAGGATCAGTTTCATTGCACTGGGTTTTATCCCATATGGCTCAGTCTCCCTCCGCAGAATGGCTAGCAACCTGCTGAGAGCATCACAGGAAGCATGAACTCTGTAGTTCTGGTGATGATTCTCATGCATAAAGTTCTGCTGTAAGTCTACAGAATAAGTGTAATAATTAGAAACTGTGCTTTTGACAGGTTACGAAGAAAGCGTACTAAGTCAAGCATGTATGGAGTGTTACCAGTACGTGGTGATCGTAGAGACATGGAGATGAAGCCACTTGGAGATGGGGATGATGACGATGATGATGACTATACAGTATTTGAAGTAAATGGACGGAAAAGATAGGTATGTCAGATTTTTTCATGTCTTCACGACTTGCCAATACCCTAAGTTACTTTGCACCGTGTTGTTTGTTTGTCCAATTCTGTGTCTTGAGGATAATTAGTGTTGACTCTTGGAACAAACTGTTTAACACATAAAAAATTGTTGTTTGTTTCAAAAATATATTACAGTAAAACCTCGTTAAAACAAACTCATTTAAGATGAACACTCCGTTAACATGAACATAATTTTGGTCCCAGCAGGGATTTATTATTATTAGTCCCCAGTTGGCATTCATTTTTTAACATGAACTCTTTTTTTTTTTTGTCCTTTTGAAATCATGTAATCAAGGTTTTACTGTACAACCGTCAAAAGTACCATTGCCAGTATATCTCAGTGTTATTTGCTCTTTCATACTTCTTCTTTTTCCTTAAAAGAGAGGTTGCACATTGTGTTCTGGTTTACAAATAAGCCTTTCATTCCAACACATTGTGTTCTGGTTTACAAACAGGCCTAGCGTTTCATCCCAACATATTGTGTTCTGGTTTACAAACAGGCTGCGCCTTTCATTCCAACATATTGTGTTCTGGTTTACAAACAGGCCTAGCGTTTCATCCCAACACATTGTGTTCTGGTTTACAAACAGGCTGCGCCTTTCATTCCAACATATTGTGTTCTGGTTTACAAACAGGCCTAGCGTTTCATCCCAACACATTGTGTTCTGGTTTACAAACAGGCTGCGCCTTTCATTCCAACACATTGTGTTCTGGTTTACAAACAGGCCTAGCGTTTCATCCCAACACATTGTGTTCTGGTTTACAAACAGGCTGCGCCTTTCATTCCAACATATTGTGTTCTGGTTTACAAACAGGCCTAGCGTTTCATCCCAACATATTGTGTTCTGGTTTACAAACAGGCCTAGCGTTTCATCCCAACACATTGTGTTCTGGTTTACAAACAGGCCTAGCGTTTCATCCCAACACATTGTGTTCTGGTTTACAAACATGCTGCACCTTTCATCCCAACATATTGTGTTCTGGTTTACAAACATGCTGCGCCTTTCATCCCAACATATTGTGTTCTGGTTTACAAACAGGCCTAGCATTTCATCCCAACACATTGTGTTCTGGTTTACAAACAGGCCTAGTGTTTCATCCCAACATATTGTGTTCTGGTTTACAAACAGGCCTAGCGTTTCATCCCAACATATTGTGTTCTGGTTTACAAACAGGCTGCGCCTTTCATTCCAACATATTGTGTTCTGGTTTACAAACAGGCCTAGCGTTTCATCCCAACATATTGTGTTCTGGTTTACAAACAGGCCTAGCGTTTCATCCCAACACATTGTGTTCTGGTTTACAAACAGGCCTAGCGTTTCATCCCAACACATTGTGTTCTGGTTTACAAACATGCTGCACCTTTCATCCCAACATATTGTGTTCTGGTTTACAAACATGCTGCGCCTTTCATCCCAACATATTGTGTTCTGGTTTACAAACAGGCCTAGCATTTCATCCCAACACATTGTGTTCTGGTTTACAAACAGGCCTAGTGTTTCATCCCAACATATTGTGTTCTGGTTTACAAACAGGCCTAGCGTTTCATCCCAACACATTGTGTTCTGGTTTACAAACATGCTGCACCTTTCATCCCAACATATTGTGTTCTGGTTTACAAACATGCTGCACCTTTCATCCCAACATATTGTGTTCTGGTTTACAAACATGCTGCGCCTTTCATCCCAACACATTGTGTTCTGGTTTACAAACATGCTGCGCCTTTCATCCCAACACATTGTGTTCTGGTTTACAAACATGCTGCGCCTTTCATCCCAACACATCAAGTTCAGCAGACCCCTAATTAGCCACCTTTTGCAACATGTTTGTTAGAAGGCAGTGGATTTATCTCCCCTCCCCCCTCCCCCCTTTTCTTTTTCCAAAATAAATGTGACCCATGAACCCACACAGGAAACTCGCTAATCTAAAGAAAAGTGTATGAAATGAATTTTGCATAATGTGGTTAGATGAAATTTATTAAAAGTGCAATAATGATTATGTTTGATATTGTATATTCTCTTTTTTTATTTTTTTATTTTTTTTGTTTGTTTCAGATAAATGTGTTCTGCACAAAAGAAAGTGTGTTCTTGTGATATAATTTCAGTAATTGAAGAGGGATTTTTGCCTGGGATTAATCATATTTGTTTAACTCTTCTGATTAAAATGTGTTCACATTTTTGTTTGTTTGATCCTAAGTTTTCTGGCCATTTTATTTACCAGTGTTTTAGTTAGTAGTTGTATACTACTAGAGCATTTATGACTTCAGCTACAGAAAATTATCTTCACTGCCTGCATCTTGCCTGTTTCATTTTATAATTCTGAAATATAAACACAGTGAATATGAATAAACATATTGAATAGCATAGAAACATTTTAGATTGAGTGTTCCCAAAAACAAAATGAGTGCTAGCGGGATTAAATAAAAATAAACACCAGATCAAGTATGAGAAAGCAAAATGTTAGCAACAAGAGAAAATAGACCAATAAAGCCATTGAAATAGACATGTACAGATCAAGTGTGATACTTCTACACAGAAAAATTTTTCTAGTAAATAGCATCTATTGTTTCCTTCCTAAAGTTTTTATCCTCTATTATCTCTCTGATAACATATTTCATAATAGAACAATCTTTTGGTAAATATATTTTCTTCCCTATCTTTCCTAATGTCTGTGTCCGTTAGTCTTTTAACATTTCTCAGAAGTGTCTCTGGTATACATTTAAATCTTCTATTGAAGCTGATTTCATGTCTTATATTCATTCTTAGTGATCAACAGATCTTGTATCATAATCGAGTATTACCGATCAAAAGATCTTGTATCAATATTTGAGTATTACTGATCAGCAGATCTTGTATCATGATTTTAGTATGTAATACTTTTGCACATATATTAACTCACCAGATTGTATTATGTACATGTGTGTCTAATTCCAAAGAGTGCAATTTAGAGTGATTTAATAAACATTCTTAAAAATTACTTTGCTAGTAAACATGCGCCATTTGTAAATAGCAATGACTCTTACAGTCTCTCGCGCCCCCTCCCTCCCCCCCCCCCCCCCCCCCCCCTCGTTTTTTTCCCCTCTCTTTCTCTCTCATTATTTTGAATATTTATTTAACATAATGTGTAGAGATTTGTATTAGGTATTACTTCAAATATAAACCTATTTACCCCTAGTATTGTCAAAGTGTTTCTGCCAAGTAGACAACACACCAGCACTGGAATTATTAACACTAACAGATGTAGAAGTGTAATGCCTGTTTTGTATTTTTTTTTAAATTGTTCAACCTTTGCCATCTATCTACAGAAAACAAGCACTGTATAACTCGCACCTGTGTATTCTTCATTTGTTCTTACTATCATTTGTATAATGCTCATATTATGAACACTGTTTTAATTGATTCCAAGAAAAATTCTGAACAAGAAAATGTATTTGTTGTATTTATATTTCAAAATTATTTATTCACTTTTTGTTAATTTCATTTTGGTATATTTCCTTCATTTCTTGGACTTTTGTTGTGTGTGATAGTTTTGTTATTTTTATGTCAACCAATAATTGATCAAATAAATGTGGAAGTGAATTTGTGTAAGATTGTGATTATTGGTTCTACCTGTTGCTCTTCATAAACATATATTTTCTTTTTCATAATATAAAAATTTTTGAAGATGGATACTTTAAATTAATTATTTGAATTGTAATGTTAAAATTGAGATGGCAGTCATAGCAATAAATGATGATTTTAAAAACTTGCAGTTATTTTACTTGCCTTTTATTTTAAAGCAATTGTTTTCACGTGAAACATGGAATCCATGTTTGAAACCAGGTTTTGAACATTCCATTTAAAATACAGTATTCTGTCAAAGAGTGTGAAATGACATTCTGGTCTGGAGAGAACAGTTGTGGAAGGTTATCAGCATCATATAGCAAGCCCTCTACAAAATGGTCACTCTCATCACAGACTGTATGAAAGAAACTTGGTCTCTCGCCAGCTCATTCACTTTACTGCCCAGTGTGTCTCTTATATCCTGTGCCTATCTTTTTGGTGGTCAGCCCCTATCCCTCTTTCCTGGTACAGTGCCCTCTGCTACTATTTTTTCTAATTCACCATTACACTTGATGTGACCAAATTATTTCAGTTTCCGAGACAGGGTGCTGTTTACAAGCCAGTCTTCCTTGATGTTCAGATCTTTTAGAATGCCAGTATTTATTTTCTTTCTGGTCTGTGTTATTCTTAGAATCGTTTCGTAGCATTTCAGCTCAAAGGCCCATATTTTCTTTCTTAGTGATTGTGAGAAAGTCCATGACTCACATCTGTATGTTGCTACAGGAAAGACCTGTGCTCTAATTTTGTTATAATTTTCTTCCTACTGCTTAGCCACAAACTTGTAATGCTGTTTAATCTTTGTATAGCTATGACCATACTCCTTTTGACTTTTTTGGGAACAGTCTCCATTGCTGTTTATTATAGAGTTTAGATATTCAGAGTTTGGGACATTTTCAATTTCTTCCTCATTTATTGTTATTTTGGGGTGAATGGCAACTCTGTCTACGGACATTATTTTGGTTTTCTTCACGTTCACGAACAGGTTGCAATCTTTACTTTGTTTTAGACAGACATCATTAAATGATCAATCCCTTTACACTGTTCAAACGAAGGACTGTCATTGTGATATAAACTTACAGTTAAATAATGGAGGGTATGGCTCCAGAGAAGAGTCAGGGGCTGGCAAACATGAAGTTACGGGATATCAGGGCTGCCCTGGGCATGAAAGTTTATGAGGTGAGGCAGTTAAAGGGAACCAAGTGGCTTTTTGACATGCTGTGTCAGAGGGCTGTTCGTCAGAGTACCTGCTAGGTGAAGATGATTCTGATAGAGAATATGCTTCCCATCATTGAATAACTGTTAGAATTCAACTGAGAGTGCTCGAAGCATAGCAGTGGCAGTTGGGAATGTTTGTAATGAATGTAAT